ACTGCCATGATCCCAGAGACTCAGAAACGAATCTCGGAACCCAAAGGCTTTTGGTAGAAATGTGTCCTGTTCTTGCAGTAGGTTACAGGCGCTGGACCACTCCAGGTGGGAATAGGTTTCGTGCCTTGGCCTGTTCCCCCTGGCGGCCTGGTGACCCCCATCCTCCAGAGGCCACTGGACAGTCAGATTTGAGCCTGCAGTGACGAGACCCACGGGGCCTCAACAGATAGGGGTGGAACCGGTCCTTTCCTCCCCCTCCCAACAAGACCTCGAGTTGCCACCTACAAATGGCCTCTCTGGCTCCTGATCAAGCTGATTAACGTCCATGATCCCAGAGACTCAGAAACAAATCTCGAAACCCAGCGGCTTTTGGTAGAAATGCATCTGGACCCCATACAAGGTGGCCACTGCCTCAGAGCTTATAGGCCCCCACGAGCAGCTCTCCAGCATGGCTATGGCTCCAGAGGCAAAAGGACTTAAATCAGAGCCAAGCAGCTTGCGGCAGAAAAGTGAATGGAACGTGCTACGGTGCCATGCCTCCCAGGGAGGGAAAGGGTGTTGCTCACTTCCGCCTTTTTCCCACCTGGCAGCAAGGTAGCCACCACCTCAGAGCTTATTGGAAAGCCAGGTATGAGCCGGCAGTGACGGGGCAACTGCAGTCTCATGGGATGGGGGGCGGAACCAGCTCGTCCTTCACATCCTACCAAGGTCACAAGTTGCCCCCACGAGTGGCTCTCCAGCACAGCCATAACACCAGATGCACAGAAACCAATCTCGTAATTATCTGGCTCCTTGCAGAAATCCAAAATCATTATATGACATTATATGATTCTCATACCAGCTATAGAAAACAAGTATTTAACAATGCCTTTTCAGCAATTCTGATTGTTGGGGAGGAATTCTAAACAATAATGGTGCATCTTTTGTCGAAATAATGAATGTAATCAATGTAGAGAAGAGTTAAGTAGAAATCATCTGCCTCACAGGCACTGGGAGGGTTGGGAGGAGGGGTATATTGGGGTTCTTAGTGGTGAAAAATGAGTACTGGTGAAGGGAAAGGTGTTTGATCATTTTATGACCGAGACAAACCTGAAAGCTTAGTAACTTTTCCCACAGTGATTCAATAAATAAATATAAGAAGAAAAAAATAAAATTATGAAGAAAAAAGTAAGGTGGAGTTCATACCCAATTCAATCAGCTAATCAGTGGCTGAATAAATAATAGTACTCCTACAAAGAAAGAAATTTAAAAAAAAAGACAATGATGGTTGGAAATGACCACTCTGAATTAAAACTGAGCACTGAAAGTAGGTAAAGGGATATATGATAATCTCTATTAGTTCCTCTATTGCAAACCACAAAGCCCAGGAGGAAAGAGAGTGTAAGTGAGATACAGAGAAAAAAAAGAAAGAAAAGTGTCTGCCAAAGAGGCAGACAAGGAAGAGATTGGTGGGAGAAATGTACTACTGGTGGTGGGAAATGTACACTGATGAAGGGACTGGTGTTGGAATATTATAAGATTAAAACTCAATCATGAACAACTCTAACTATCTCCCCGTGATTCAATTTTTTAAAAAATGTTAAGTCAAAGGACGAAGAACTCATCATGTAAGCGATGGATAAAATGGGAATGGGAGAGACACACCACTGAAAAAACAGCATTCACAAATAACTCACAATGTCAAATCTATATATAATTTTTATTTCTCAAAAATACAGCTCCCTTCACCTCCACCAACTTCCTAGCTCAACCCCCATTCACTTTTACACTAATATGAACTTTCTTCCTAATATTAGCATTTTGTTTGTTGGGGGGTGGGGTTGGGGGGGTTGTTTTGTTTTGCAATACCAGAGAATGGACCTAGAAATGCAGGCACTTCAGCCCAGGGGTGACTTTTTTGTTATTGTTGTTGTTGTTGGATGTAGACCCAGAGTGCTGATACCCAGTTAATACTTGAGCTGAACCTAGGGCTTTCATATGCAAACCATGTTTTTCAATCCATCTTCCAAACTGGAGCAATAAGATAGCAGGTCGGGAGCTTGCCTTGCACATAGATGAGGGAGCCCCAGAACCCGATTCTGAACCACAAACCCCACTAGGAGTGATCCCTGAGCACAGAGCCAGAAGTCAGTCCAGAGCACCAACAGGTGTGGCCAAAAAACTTAATAAAAATAAATTGGAAATCAGATCCAGTTCCCTACAATGGTTTCTCTGGCTATTTCACAAGAGTCTTCCTTCCCACCCTGGTGGTAACTAAAGCTATCTATATATCTCCTCTTAGGTCAATAAACACAGAAGTCAATAAACTCCTTTCTCACAACCACCTTCAGGTCAGAACATGAACCACTATCATCACCCCTTCCAGAGTCTGATTTTCATGTGGTACACAATTTGTTGTTTTTTCAAAGAAATTCTAAGACCAAACCAGTTGCTGCAGATAATCTAGTATCTAATTTAGTTCTCCAGAGAAGCATGCCATTTTGGCACAGAGCAATTTAGAAGCCCTTACTGTCAAACATGGGTCAAATACATAGGTGAACACGGATCACATTAAGATATCTGCACTTAAATATTAAAGCTTGGGAGGAAGAGGGTTGCTGGTGATAGCTCAGAATTGATACAGCATTCATTTTAAAGATACTAGGCCAGGAGTTGGATCCCCAGAACTGCTCCATACATGAGCACCAAAACCAAAGGTGCAGTCACTCTGCCCATCACTACAATAATGACTAACATGGGGAGAAATAAACTAGTTCAATCTAAAATATATAGTTCAGGGGTCTGGAGCAATAGTACAGTGGGCAGGGCATTTGCCTTGACCGTGTCCAACCCAGGTTTGAGTCCCAGCATCCTATTCAGTCCCCTGAGCACCGCCAGGAGTAATTCCTGAGTACAGAGCCAGGAGTAACCCCCGAGCATGGCCAGGTGTGAGCCAAAAAGCAAAAAAAATAAATAAAATATATAGTTCAGCGGGCCTGGAGCAATAGTACAGTGGGTAAGTTGCTTGTCTTGCAAGCAGCTGACTCGGAGCTGGATCCTCAGCACCCCATATGTTCTCCCAAGCCTGCTAGGAGTGATCCCTAAAAGTAGAGCCAGGTGTGCCCCCCAAAAAGTTCAATCTAAAGTTTAAAAATAAAAATAAAGGTATGCACTTTGGCACACAAGTTTGATAACAGTGAGATAACAAAGTAGTGATTCCTGCAAAGGAAGGCAAGGACACCTCTTCTCACCCTCAGTCACTACGGAGTGAGATGTGACAGAGTGGGAGAGAGGGGCATGCCTGCCACATAGTGTGGAGAGGGTCAAGGTAAGTTGTCAGGAACCTTCAATTTGAGTCAAGCAAGTGGAAGGGTGGGTGGAAGACTGAGAAGGGTGAAAAGTATAAGGGAAACCTTATATCACAAGTCTATATCACAATCCCACAAACTCTTCTCATGTTTCATCCGCTCAAGAAAGCCATTCCAGGGCTATCCAAACAAAAGGTACCAGCCCTCTCACCACTTCTTCCCAAGTATTTAGTGTTTGCTTTTTTCTTTTTGGAGGTCAGGGGGTTGTTCGGGGGCCACACCGAACCTCAGCTTACTCCTGCTGGGACTAGAGCATCATATGGGGCGCAAGGCAAGTGCCCTACCTGCTGTAGGATCTTTCTACCTACCCCCTCAAGTGTCTTTCATAGTTAATGTTACATAAGACTGACACACTAGCTTCTCAGTATTGCTGATCCTGTGGGCAGGGCACTACACTGGGGGGTGTGCCTTCCCTGGTAACCCTGCCCTCCCAGAGCCTCAGACCTTTCTCAATCACTCGTGAGCCCTTTAAGAAAGTGAATTTTTGTAAAGTTTTAATTGAAGTCAAGAAGTCAACTGGGCAGAGAATCTAAAAAGTTCTCCCCTTTTCCCTCTAGCAAACCAAAATAATCCAGTTAGCTCGACTTTCCAATTTCTATCTTCTTCAAGTGGCCTGCATCTGTAGAGTCGTTAATAAAAACGAAAGAAAAAAGAAAACACTGCTTAACAAAACAAGTCTCTCATCCAAAACCCTATCCCGTAGCAATAGAAAATGATGCCATCATTTCCTTCAATGTCCATAAACTATGAAAAGCCCTTCATTTATCAGAGAACACGGTTGGCTCTTTCCGAAACTATTGAAATTCTGTACAAGACCAACCCCGCCTCTCCCCCACCACCCGCCAAAAAAAAAAAAAAAAGTCCCGAATCCGGCGGAGGGCTTGCGGGGCTGGGGTGGGGGGTCCGGCAGGGCCTGGGGCCAACAGCCGCCCGCATTACCAGGAAGCCATGGCCGCCCGCCTCGGCCGGGCATTCGGCGAACTACAGTCCCAACAAGTGCTTCTCCCCCCCAAAACGCACGCTCCAAGGAGCATCCACAACCTAAAAGAAAACGAAGAAACGCTTGGCGCGTCACCAAGCCCTCAAACAAGGTAGACAGACGGACGAAACGACGCGGCGCGAGGAGCGCGAGCCGCGGCCGGTGCGCACGGGCGGGGCCCCCGCACCTTCCCGGCCGCGGCGCTTCCCGACTTTCACCTCGGCTCGGCTCGGCTCGGGACGGCGCGCGGGCGGCGGCGGGGAGGGGGAGGGGCGCGGCGGCCGAGACCACCGCCCCGCGAGCCCGCGCGTCCCCCCAGCCCGGCCGGGACGGGAGCGCGCGGCGAGGCCACGCCAACAAAGTTTAGGAGTCGCGAGAAACTTTCTGAGTGGAAACGCGGCAGGCGCGCCGCGGCTCCCTCCCGCCGCCCCTCAAGTCCCAGAGCGCCGGGGAAGCGCCGGGCCCCCCCCACACACACCGGGGCTGGGCCCAGCACAGGGGCCCCCTCCGAGGACGCGGGCCGGACGCCTCCTCCCCGCCCGCCCGGAGCGCCCCCGAGTCGGGTGGGGTCGCGGAGGGCAGAACGGCCCGCCCGGCGCTCGCGAACAGGCCCGGGCCAGCCCGGCCGGAGAAGCCCCTCCGCGGGGCCGAGGCCCGCGCCCGCCCCGAGTTACCTGCGGCGAGCGGGGCGAGCGCAGGAGTGCCAAGAGCCGAAGTCAACGGCCGCCGCTTTGTCTCCCTCCAGGCCGGCTCCGAGGAGGAAATGGGCCGCCCGGCGCCCCCGCCCCCGGCCCGCCCCCCGCCCGCGGCCCCCGCCCAGCGGCCCCGGCCCCGGCCCCGCCCGCCCTTCCCGGCACCTCCCTCCGGCGCGCTCTTCCCGGCGCCTCCCGCCGCCGCCCCGCCCCGCCTTCCGGGCTAGAGCGCTGGGAAGCGCCCGGGACACTCAGACAGGCCGGCCACGCAAGGACTTCTCTGACGGATCCCTCAGCTCAAAGTTACTTCGTGGGGGCACGCGAGCGCTCACACACACACACGCACACACACGCTCGAGGAAGGGCAACAAGGAGGAGCACTGAGTCCCGGGAACAGCCTGCCCGCGGGGGAGGGCAGGTGAGTCACTGCTCCCCGCACAGGTGAGTCTCAGGGCGCGGCTCGCGCGGGCCCCGCCCCCGGCTGCTGCCCCAGTGCCCGGGCGCGGCAGCGCGGAGACCTGGGCGCCCTCATCGGAGAAGGGCCGTGGGTGTTCCCCAGTAAACGGCCAAGCGCTCCGCCCGCGGCCCCTGGTTTTACTGGAGAAGAAACTGACGCCTCACCCGGTCCTCACCTGCGCCTGAGTGGGACCAAAATCCGACTCTCAGGATCTCCTGCCGTGAGGTGGAAGAGCTAGAAGCCACCTAAGCTGTCCCCTGATGGAGGACAAGAGGCCATCCCAGCAGCAGTCACCTGCTCCTCAGACTCACCACACACACACACACACACACACACACACACACACACACAGGCTCCTCCGAAGACTGATTCCCCCCCCCCACACACACACACGAGACTGATCTCCCCCCTCCCCCACTCACACAGATTTGAAGGTCTTACTTAGATCTTTATCCCTCTGGTCACAGGGGAAAGTTTATTCCTACTCTAACTTATCTTCCCGGTGAATAATTTAAAAAAAAAAACTACAGCACAAAAAGCAATCATATATTCATTGTCAGCCTGCTGTAGGAACCCTAATACCCTAATGATTTCCCCCACACCCTTCCCCCATCACTTGATGAACAAGGTTTCTTTCAGTATTAAAACAAATAATAGGAGATGATACCTCCTGCAGCAGGGTGCTAAAGTATGCTGCCTCTTTAGGGCTCCTCTTGACTACTCACATTTCCCTCTGTCGCTGAAAAGAGAAACTCCCTGGAGACAACAGCAACTAAGGAAATGGAATAGAAATAATAAAATGGAGCAAGGAGGCAGGGGCCAGAGAGACAGCACAGGAGTTGAAGGCACTTGCCTTGCGTCCGGACCCACCACGTTTGACTCTGGCACCACATATGGTTCCCCCATCAAGAATTATGCCCTGAGCACTGCTGGGTGTGACCAAAAGGCAATAAAAAGGGAGGAAGAAGCAGCCCTCAGCACTGCTGGAATTAGTACCCATGTAAAAGAGGTCCCAGAGAAGCATAAAACCTGTGAGAATCCCAGATTCCCCAGAACCACACCACATTCTTGAGTGTGACCCCAGTGGCTCTCCTGTTTGAGATCCAGGAACGCACAACAAAGTGTACTCTTCAGTGCCCCACACCCAGGCATCTGCAGGCACCGAAAGTAAAAGTATGAGGGCAGCACAAACCAGTCTCTATGACCCCTGGTCATACTAACAGAGGGAAGGAAGGAGGAAAATTAAAATAAAAGAGCATCAGAGGGACCAGAGTGATAGTACAGCAAGGAGGGCATTTGCCTTACAAGACCCAGGTTTGATCTCTGGCATCCCATATGGTCCCCCAAGCACCGCTAGGAGTGATTCCTGAGTGCAGAACCAGGAGTAAGCCCTTACCATTGCTGGGTGTGACCCAAAAAGCCAAAAACAAAAAAAAAAAAATCAGAGAACTCTGTTCTACCATGAAGAACACAGCAAGATTCTGAGCCAGGAAGGGAGCTCTCACTGAATCACCACCATCTGGGACCTTTGTCTTAGACCTTCCAACCTCCAGAATATTGAGAAATTTCTGTTGTTTAAAAGCTACTCAAGGCTGGAGAGAGAGTTCAATGAAGTGCATGCTTAGCATCCAAAGATCTAGGTTCCATTCTTGGCACCTTATATGGTCCTCCACGCACCAATACAATCAAACCCTAGGTACCACTGAATGTGGCCCAAAACCAAAAAATAAATAAACGTAATGCTGCTCAATCTGTATTGTGCATGACAGTCCAAATGGGTTCCAAAATTAAAAGGTAAAAAAAGGCCCTCCCGTTGATCGTCGATTTGCTCGAGCGGGCCCAGTAACGTCTCCATTGGAGACTTTGTTGTTACTGTGTCTGGCATATCGAATACTCTCGGTAGCTTGCCGGGCTCTCCGAGAGGGGCGGAGGAATCGAACTCGGGTCGGCCATGTTGGCCGCTTGTAGGGCAAACGCCCTACCGCATGCAAAGTTTATTTTGGAAAAAGAGGGGCACCAGCGAGAGAACTCAGAAGACTAGATTGGAGGTGCATGCTTCAGGTTTGATCTCTGGCACCCCATGAGTGTAGACTATTCTCCCCAAACAAAGAAAAGTCAGGTGACAAAAGAACATGTCAACAGAACCCCGAGACAGCAGAGGGTAAAGGTACATGCCTTGTATCCTGCTGAGCTGTCACATTCCCAATATTACATATGGTCCCCTGATCACTGCACTGGGGTCACTCCAGAGCAGAGTCAGGAATAGCCCCTGAGCAGTGCTAGCTATGCCCCAACAACAAAAAGAGAGAATGTGTAGGGAGACTTGCTTAGGTCCCATAACTTAAGAAAGATAGTTCCCTCCAAGCAATCCAGAGGGTTTACTAGAGAACATTTAGCATTTACTGTTTCCCAGGCACATGTGCCAAGTCAAAGGCACTAAAAGTTGACTTGATTCCCTGTTCTCCCATAAATTAAAAATGTAGTAGATGAGACAGGAAGAGACAGATCTTTTTAACAGAAAAACTACTAAAGAGCATGTTCCTTGCAAAGACTAGGGTTAAATTCCCTACACTGCATGGCCCCCTACAATAATAAGACAATCAAATTGGAAATGTCAAATGAGGATAGGGAACAGCTAACATGGATCAGAGGGAAAATAACCTAGTGTGGGGTTCAGTGACTGAGAAGAGACTCCAATCAGACTTTAGCACTCAGCTCTCCACTAAAACTGCTTTAATCAAGTTCCTGACGTCTTCCAAGAAGCCAAATGCAGTGGTCAGTCTCTGTCCACAGTGATTTGTATCGTCAGCAGTGCAGGCTTGCTTTCTTTCTTAAACACTGTATTTGCTGGACCTGCAAGTCACTAAGAAAATCACCTGCTTTTCTTTCAACTTTCATGGCCTCAGCTTCTTAGACTCTTTATGATTCCTTCCAAATCCTCTCAACCTCTAAATGTTATTGCAGCAATTCTCAAAGTGCAGTCTGAGGACTCCTGAGACCTTTTGGGGAATTGCAAGGTAAAAACTATTTTCATAATAATACTAAGATATCATTTGCCTTTTTTCACTCTCATTCTCTCATGGATCACAGTAGAATGTTCCACAGCTACATGATATTATGATATGGCATCACACAGAATGCAGAAGCAGATATGAGAATTCACTTATCTTTTATTAAGCCTGATATTAAAGAGACTTGCAAAAATGCACCCCAAAGACATTTATTTCCAAAATTTTGCTTTTTAAAATTTGATACATTTTCTTTAAAAATGTTTTCTAAGCCCAGAAATTTAATTCAGCGGTAGAGTACTTAGCTTGCATGTGTGTGGCCCTGGGTTCAATCCCCACCACCACACACTCAGAAAAATTATTTATGGGGCCTGGAAGAAGATATAGTGGCTTAAAGGTCTGGATCGCAAGTATGAAGATGTGCCTCATTTTCAGGGCCACTGCATGCACCTCAGTGATATGGCCACAAGATACATGTAACACAGTAAACAGAGATATAAGCTAAATAGATGCTCAAAGCTTTTTAAATTGGGTGTTGTATATCAAAGCCTCGTTTGTACAAAGCATGTACTCTACCACTATGCTACATTTTCAGCCCGTCAGGAAATTTGATCATTGATCACTTGACATCCGGTTATCATTAATTTGCTTGAGCGGGCACCAGTAACATCTCCATCCGTCCCTGTCGTGTGCTTGTGTAGCCCAATGGCGTCTGCTCCCTACAGGAACACGAAGAGCCTCAAACCGTTTGTTCAGGGTCATGACGAAGAAGTCTGACCATCTTGTAGATGGGCAGCCACACGTTCTTTTGACATCTTATGGAATCCAGTTGGTAACGGCTCTAGTCCAGTGGTTGTCTTCAAATCGCATTATGTATCCAACCCATCTGATTTTTGATGCCTTGGCAAACGAGACACTGTCCCTGATTCTCAATCATCAATGAAGGTTGGAACTCAGGATTCCTTCTCTCACTTGAGAAAAGTGTGATACTCGAAGCACAGCTCTTTCGATTCTTCTTTGGGTGACATGAATAGCGTTCTTATCCTGTTTTCGTAGGGCCCAGGTCTCTGAGGCATATGTTAGTGCAGGGATAATGGTGGAGTCAAAGAGATGTGCGTGGAACTGGAGGTTCTTTGTCCTCTTAGCTATTTCTCCGATGCTCTTGAAGATGTTCCACGGTGTTCTCTTCCTCCTGAGCAGCTCAGGTGCCAGGTCGTTCATCATGTTGAGTTCTCGACCTAGGTACACATAACTGCTGCATTCGGAGATGTTCATTCCATTGCGTCAGGAACTAGTCCATTTTTCATGAACATTGTCTTTACGAGATTCAGCGGCAGTCCGACCTTTCCACACTCACAGTCGAAGTCGACCAGCATTCCTGCCACTTGGCTAATTTAATTCAGGAAATTTAAGAGTATAAAAGGATGGATGGGGGTATGGTGCTGCCAGCAGGTCAATCTTTACCTGTGAGGCAAGTGCATCAGCAGACTTATCGTGCCTTCAGACTTCCAGATACCCCAATATTGCTGCTGTGCCTTTGGCCAGACCCAAAAAACTTGGGGCAAAATTTACCCAAGAAAGTAAATGGCCAAAAGTTAGGTATGTGGGAGACACACCCACAAACCATCTTCTGCTCA